GTATGCAGACGACATTGTGCTACTAAGTGAAGATTCGGGTAAGTTGCAAGCTTTTCTGGAAAGTTTGAGTGCTAGTGAAGCCATGTTCGGTATGCATTTTGCACCTTCAAAGTGTAAAATGCTACTACAACATTGGATTGGTCCAGTCCCCAGCCTCACCCTGATCGGGGAAGTTGTAGAGAAAGTAGACAAGTTTTGCTNACCTGGGCAGATATATCTCACCTGGCGGACGCATCACAGATGAAGTGTCGGATACAAATAGATTTACGATATTCGAACACCGCTGTCTACGTAGCATTGCACGTGTCTGGTGGGGTAACCCGGTTAGCAATGCTGAGGATAGGCGTAGAGTTTTAGGCAGTCGCGGTCGTCCACTGGAGCAAGTGATCGACCTCCATAGATTAAGCTGGTTGGGACATGTGTTACGTATGTCGCCAGATAGGTTGCCGCGGCGAACGATGTTTGCCAAGGCTGGTAGCGATTGGAATAAGATAAAGGGTGGTCAAACTAAGACCTGGCATGAGGGTATGAAAACCCTAACCAGGAGACTAGGTCACATAGGCCCCGTTAGGCTCCTTGGCTTGGGACCTCGGGATGATCGTAACTGATGTTTAAAGGGACTAAGTGATATGGCTGGGTGACGCTCATGCATCCACTCGTTATTCTCCTAACACCACTCTATGTGAATTCCCCATCTTCCGCTTGAATTTACTTCGACATTCCAATCTTCAGTTTGCTCTTTTATCCAAATGGGCAACCGAAACCGGCTCACGAATGTGCATGGTTAATGGTTGTAAAAACTGAACAGATAGATGCAATGAACTGATCGTGATCGGACAACCGCCAAGATCACCCAATCACAGTTGTACAACTGAGTGTTTTGCTAGCCTATGAATGGCATCTCACTATTAGCGAATAGGTTAGATTTTGTAATATGCAATGTGACATTGCTTCGTGAGACATTATATTCCGTCAACACATCTTTTGCCCTTAAAATATGAGCATGAATATCTGATGCGCGTCTAGTATTCACTAACGGTCACAATGATCCCCCTGCATCTGTAGGTTGCGTATATCCCAATGACCACTTTTGTGTCTTTTCAGCCTCTTTGGCCTGTGCTCACCACTCCTACGGGCCAGCTTATTGTGGATAATACTGTGCCCGTAACACTTCGACCCTCGTCGGTCTCCGGCGTGACGATGCCTCAACAACAGACTGGTATAGGCAGTCCACAACACCCACGAATGGCCACTGGTACTGAGCCTTCAACAACAACAACCGCACCTGATGCATCACATCTGGTCCAGTCACCAGGCCAAAATGGGAACCAGGAAAACGCAAATGACTCATCGTGCACGAATGTCGTACTTCGACCGCGCCGTCCAGGGCCCCCTCCGCCTGAGGTCAGCTGTTTTCCAGAATAATTTCACTCCTCTCTTTCTTATTGCCTTTCAACTTGTTCTTTCTGCTGCATATCAGAACTGCTCGAACACTTTTTGCGTTCCCCGTTCTGTTTATAAACCGAACGCCACACATTAAGGTTAACCTCGGCCTCAGTTCAAATGCAGATATTGGAAATTGAGTCAGGCATAACAGATTCTCTTGTGTGCTCATGCCTGAATCACTCGAGGGAAATCAGAAAACTCAAATGTGTGAATTTCCGTACACGACTTTTTTTCCTTTTTAACAGATCCGTTTGAGCTGTTCATCTTCAGGTACACTTTGGGTCAACGAAATAAGTCTTATTCTGTAGAACATTTATCCCGTTGATAATTTTCTGAGGCTTAATCAGATCAGTGGTTCTTACACTGGAGCTACCGACGAAGTCTGAAACATGACTAATGTGACCAATCACTTTCTTGCTTCAGCTTGATTTAAGCCATTTTTTACTCTCATCCTCTACGCAGCGTCGAGATAGCATGCTCCCTCGACCAGCTTCCACTCCAAGTCAGCATTCATCGGAAGGTGACATCAATCGATCGTCAAAAGGTTCACAGTTCGACCAGAGCCCCGTTGTTCAACCAACCATGTTGGATTCAGGAGCTGAAGATGACGGGTCCGGCTCCCCTCAATCCGCGCATACTGCACAACGCGTGCCCCACCCGTTGGCCATGGGACTAATTACCGGGCCTAATGGTGTCAATTCAGCCTCTTGTCTCAGCCTAGCAGCTCGTGGTCGAAGTGCGTTAAGCAGACGTAGTTTGTTCGCTGCTGACTCACAGGACGCTTCAGATGCGGACGACAGTGATCGGGACCGTTTACGCGGTAGTCAGAGCGACTTTGAGAAAGTAGGCCCAGGNAGGCTTAGAAAACGGAGCAGACGAAGTTGATGAGGATGACCACCGATCGGTATGTAGTCAACGCAGTCAACGGTCGCGTTCGGCCTCTTGTCGACATAGTCGGCACAAGCATCATCATCATCATCACCACCACCATCGGCAACAGCCAATCCGATGTCAGTCTGCAGTAGATCCATCAATGGGTTCTGTACCAGATGTGAGTCAATCTGGCGTTCCTTTGGCATCGGGAGAAGAGCTGGGGGTCGGCCACAACGCAATCCCTCTCGTCCCGACGCATCGCCACCANTAAAAAGAATTCTGATATGTTCAGGTTACTTCGATGAACGGTTATTTTTATTGAAGAATTTCTTCGCTTTTTATTCAGTAATGACCGAAAATGAAGTGTTTTAAATGGAATTCCCGTTTGCATTTGCATTGCATCCATTGCATAGAATAGTAAAATACGAACGTAATTAAATTATCCATCATTCCCATATAACCCCTCATTCACCCACCCCAATCTACGTCACTATTCTGAGGATCCCGGTTGATTTTCCCATTTTTTTCAAGGTAAGTCGAGTGACCGTTTTAGACATGTTGGAGTTCTGCAAACATATAGCAGATCTTCTTGTGATTTTTATAGGCCCAACTATTTAAATTTCCGTA